TAGAATTAGAACACAAAATGAAGTTATTCATTTATTCGGAGAAACGTATCCTGATTTAAACACCCATATCACAAAGTAGCGTAAGCAAGAAAGAAGAAAGAAAAAAAAAAGATTAAATATTCGAAGGTAGCCAGTCTTCAGTGTCACAAATTCTAAGGCTGCAAAAATAAATATATATAAAATATAAATATAAAATAAAATGACGATTCTTCAGGAACCCCCAATAGAAGACTGCAGTTTTGCAAATGACAAATCTTCTTGTTTGCTATTGAATCTATTTCAAATCTCGCATGTATTCGACAATTCTCAAATCAGATATGCCCTTTTTTGGTTGTCAAAATATGCCCAGATCTAGATATTAGTGGCCACATCCACAAGTTGTTGAAGAAGTTTTGTTAGGCTCAACAGCTGAATTATTTTTTAGTGAGAAAGTTGATGGCGATCCCTTTAAATAAACACATACATCTCTTCCAATATTAATCTCCTTCGGAGCATCCTCAAAATCGTACGAAAGTTGGTTAAGATCAAAAAAACAAATTTGTAGGTCTTGGCGGTTTTTTTCCGCTACATTGATTATTCAGGACCAATAGAATAGATTTTTCCCTGGGCTATATAAATTTTCCTGTTGTTTTAATAGAAATTTTTCAAGAATCTCTCTCTTCAGTCCTAACCAGCATTAGGGCGTATAATGGTCAGCGTAGCATCATGGATGATTTTTCTCCATGTGCTTCTGTCTTTTGTCATCTTGATGACATCGTGCATTGGCTTGCTACAGCTAGTCGCGATCTGGTCTATCTATCGAGTCGGAGAGTGGCCAAATGACCTACGTCCCTCCACCTTGCCTTGAATTTATTTTAGTTGTTTTAGTCGGATTTTACTGGAAATCCTGTCGGTAATATTAGGTTGATTTATAATGGAGACGTGTATACGGCGTTCAGTCCACGGGAAACAGAGCATACGTCGATAACAACTCCATCTCGATAGCATCGATCTTCTTACTTCTTACTAGCCGGTTTTTGATGGCTCTTGAAATATGACGGTCTTTTCAGATCTTGGTCAGTCTCCCAATAGCTACGCTTCACTTCTTCTTCCGATGTGCCTGTATTGGTCAATCCCAGGCATACTTATGACTAATGAAGTCAAAGCGGTCAGTATGACATATATTTGGGTGGTCGTTATGTTGCTTACGAACTATCATGATTTTGGTTTTTTTGTATTTAGTTCCTGACGTAGCCGTTGCTTTCGTTTTCTATCCTATCTACTAAATTGATTAACTCTTCTTGACTGCCAGCGAGTATTGCTCTATCATCTACAAAGAGTAGATTTATTTTTTGGCCATTTATTCAAATGCCCCCTTCCCATGTTTCTAGCGACCTTCTCATGATGTATATGTTAAATAGTTGAGAAGACAGTATACACCCTTGTCTGACTCCACGTTCCCTAAAATTGAAGAATGCGAATGGACTTTGCTTTGCACAATTTTCGTGGAGAATCGGCGCATTTTTCTTCGTTCGCCTTTCGTTGGGTTCGTGACTGGCTGAAAAAACCGTAACCATAACGATCACCGTTGATATGAATAATGCAACGAGGCGTTCATTAAAGTACTTTAATTACACACGCTGGGTACTATAATGTAGCTGACATAATATCGTTTCATTGACAAACTGCACAATGGTCGCGGCCATTGTTATGCACATTCGGCTCTCCATTTTATTATTGCATATGGAATTCGCTATTTAAGGAATGTCAATCGATTCCGACGGCAGATGGCGTGAGGAATACTAAGTATTCACTTAGAATGTGGAAGGGCCGCGGAGATACGTAGACATCAAGTATCTGTTGTGAAGCAACGTTGCCATTAGTTTTGGATCGATCTGGCAACGCTACATTCTCCGAAATATAGTTTATCGCGTGTTATGGTAGTGGATGAAAATTGAAAAGGTTTCTTGGGCTGGCGCTCTGGAACTCCTGGTGGGACACTTTTTTTTTACTTTTAATTCAAGGTCCATGGTGCTTAACATTTTACCTGGAGTTATATCATTAAAACAAAGAAGAAAAACATTCTCAACTTTATCAAAAATAAAAGAACTGAGAGTTAAAAATGCAAATTCTAATAGTATATTATGCAACAAGTGCGGTAAACGGCATTTGACTCACGAGTTTATTTGACACGAGCGGAGCGAGTGTTTAACAAACGAGTGAGTTAAAAAGTTCACCGAACGTGTTGCATACTATACTTTTTCTACGACCGTTAGTTTTTGCGTACATTTTCGCAAAACACGAATACATTCACTGACATGACTGTGAGAATTGACAAACGTCAAAATTTAAAGCGTGAAAACATCCGATTGCTGCCAAACCCGTGCGGTAAAATCCCGAAACTGTCCGAAGTGGCTCGGATTGGTGGGAAACGAAACTGAAGTGGTAAAGCGACGCTTCCCGCACGTTAGGTCGGTGTGTAATTACGTATTTTACAGATGGTAGTAGAAATATTTTTTTGTAAAAAAAATTATGTAGATTTTGTGAATCCTCTAGCCCACTAAATCGTTGCTTTGTTTTTTTTTATTAATTAGGTTTTTTTTATTAACACACTTAAATACACCGTGAAATTGTATACACGTAAAGTCTTACACAGAACAAAAGTGCTACATATAACCATTATATAACAGTCCCTATAATAATAGTTTCTAATGGAGTTGTTCAAGAATGACGTAAAATATTTAATTAGCAAAAATCTATTCGCATAACTTACGTCAATCAACTAATGCTCGTTTATTATTAATTTTTTAACATTACAGTAAAATTTAATCATGTCATATAAGAGCGATATACGACAAAGCTCACACAGCTCAAATAAAATGGAGATAGTAAATTAAAAAAGCTTTTAAATTGAGGATTACAATCGTACGGCTTTGCAAATTTGGACTCCCAAATTTTGTAGCTGCTTTAAAATAAGCCCTCTACACCCAAATCTACACAATCTACACGTAATTTTGCGCTTCATAAACAAAATAGAACAAATTTTTATAACACTGTGTTTCCACAATTCTGGTCTTTGAATTTAACGGTTGCACCGAAGTTAGTTCCAATCAATGTTTGTCTTGAGCCTCAAATTTTTTTAAAAAAGAAAGACTTTATTTCCACGTAAGTGGTCACCATCATTCACTTTAACGTCAATTTGGCAGTTCGTCTTTCCGGTATGTCACGTGTCTGGTATCTCATTATGTTGTAGTAGGATGTACTTTCTTCGACCAATTACTTTCTTTTGGATATTTATGCAGGTTCTTTTTTAAGCAGCAGGCGCCATTTAATTACTTTGGACGTTGTTGTGTAGTGGCCCAGGTCGCAAGGAAAGTCAACGTATTAAAATACTATATTCAAACACTACTGTACAACAGTTACTACTATGCCGCGTTGTCAGTTTACTGATAAATATTACAAATAATTAGATATTCAACAATTATGGATTATGATACATTTTTTTATAGTGTTATTATTATGATATTAACCCTCTAGAAACTCGAAATAAATTAAATCTAATTGGAGAATTAAAAGCAGAAATGGTGTTGGCCCGTTATACTGGAATTTTGCCCACTGAGGTTAAGTACGACATAACGCAAATATGTTGCCATATTTCGAATTTCTTTGCAAAGTAACCGAAACTAATTTTGCGAGGGCGTCTACAAGAAAGGCCAATGTAGCCACAAGCTCCGCAATTTCGTTTGTTGCCATATTTTTAAAACGAAAATTGCACGGGGAGGTCAAAAAATAGGTTTTTGGCCTAAATATATAAACTCTTGTCGACTTTGATAAAACCTGGTAAATTTGTTTTTTTTTTCCTAGTTAAAAACAAGAAGTTAATAACATTGTTTACTTTTTACTTTTTATTACTCTTTCGTCGTGAGAAATATAGTATAATGGAAACTAAGGATGATCTCAGCTTTGTACGCTGCTCAAAGAAGTTGGTATAGATAATTGAATATTTTGGTGATATAAGCGCTGACGTTCAAGTCTATTTGCAGTGAATATTTTCTAATAAACACTGGATTGGCTGCATGTTGTTTAAAGAAACAAAAAAGGTAGCAACAACGATTAACATTAATAATAAAACATTGCAGATTGTGTTTGCAATAGAATATTTAGGTCTGAATATAGTTGAGAACTTAAATTAACTTAGTTTAATAGTGGTTGATATTTTATAATGACTTTAGTGACTTCTACATTGTACAGGGTGGGCACTTTATTGGGGGCCTGTACCTTTTCGCAGGAACTACTTATTTGCATTTCGTGCAGTTTGGATAGAAATTGAGATTATATATTTTTTTATGCAAAAATATGTTCTTAATAAATATGGTCTTCCACCTCTGCCAGTAATGCCTACTTGATCAAATTTTAAACACGTTTTTAGAAAACTTTCTTTTAACGATCTGCGATCACTAGGTATTTTAAAATTGTACAGGGTGTCTTAAAGGACATTTTTAAAAAAATTCAACTTGCAGTATTAATTTTTTTTTAAATGACACGTCCATGTTTTTGATATTTTTTCTTAAAGCTGGTGAAGATACCTATAATTTGGTACGTATCACACACCCAAATCTAATAGTTTTCTAAGTTTTTAGCAATAAACTCGGCGAAAAATACTGGCACTTAATTATTTTAAAGAATTTAATTTAATTAATAAAGTTTTCATTAACAGTAGAAAACCCACATTTTTTAAAATGGCATAATATTATTATTATGAAACTTACTTTTTACCCCAGTAAGTTGTTGTAACCAAGTAAATGTTTATAATATATAGTGTTTTAAGGGTTTTGAGAGTCAGCGTTTAACAGATGTGATTTTAATCAAGCAATATTATTAATACTTAAGTTAAAAATATATATAAAACATAAATAATTTTAAAATTTCATTTAAACAATTAAACTTTTGCATTCACTTTTTTTTTTCTAAAATCAGTAGTTCCTGAGATAAGGTGCAGGCCCCTAATCGAGTGTCCACCCAGTACGTATTTTTGTTAATCTCGTGGCTATAGCTACTATGCGCTGATTTTAGAGTTTTTCATTAATAAGTTTGTAGCAAATTATACTAAGTTTATGCATTACCAATTTTGAAAAAATCATTTCATTAAATATATTTTTGAAAACCCGCTAACGCATAGTTCATCCATTCCCCCTTCATTTTAAGTGATGAATTCATGGACTTTCTTTCGATCCCCCCTGTACCTATATACGCGGCCGTGGTTCGGCATTCCTCGCGGGGCCGATAACGATCGCCCTTCTAGATTAAATTCCCAAATTATTTTTAATTTGCCTCCGACATTCCGAGGGCCCGGGGAATCCATTATACCGCGCGAACCCCCCCGACAGCCAATAATAATAAATTGTTCAATCTGGGCGCTCGATTTTTTTATTTATGATTTTTTTCGTTTTTTTTTTTTTTTTTTTTTTTTGGGCAGTCCCCGCGAATGTCAGCAGTTTGGAACGGGGAGTAATGTTTTTTCCGCCGCGTAAAATTTTGTTAGAGCGCCCCACATCCGCGGTACAAAGTAGATATTTGCTAACGAGGCGCCCGGCGTATATCAAAAGGGCCACCGGGGGCGGTTAAACGCCTCTAAACTCGTCAAAATTTGACACGTTGATCATCGCTTTTTCGTACCGGCGACGAGGACCTAATTACTCTCCCACAACACCGGCAGGTTGGCCTGGCGTTGTTGCCAACTTTCTTCCGTGTTGTCTAGAACCCGCATTCCTAGAAAAATAATATAATATAAGAGAAAATATCATGTAAATTTATGGTTTTATAGTGATATATACTAACCAAAACATAATTATTAATTGAAGGGATTTTGCATTAGACGTATTTTTTTATGTTCCCCTTCTTTTTGATTATTTTTGGTTAGGGCACACTATAAAACGGGAGAACATCGACATAATGGCTCCAAAAAAACGGAAGATATTATCCATCCTACTTCGCATTGTCTCAAAATATAATCTAGTGCTAACGTAGGAGATAATATAGAGCATACATTTTTCTGGGATTGCGTCGTACCAAAGGAGCATCCTGGAAAATATATATAGGAAGTTGCAGTCAAAATAAAGCATCCATTGCCTGAAATTTTCAATAAAAAATTCTTTTGAATTAATCAACAAAATTAAAGATATCAAAATCCCTTCTAACTCAACACTATTATCTTTTGACGCACAAAACTTATTTCCCAGTGTTCCACCTATGGATGTGCTAGATTTAGTAGATTTCACCCTAAGTCGGAAACAGGTTAACCCATTGGTGAAACAAGATGTATTAGATTGCTTAGTAGTATCTTTAGACCAAAATTATTTTGAATTGAATGGACATATATTCATCTCTAAGGAAGGTTCGATTATGGGAAACCCACTTAGTCCGTTGTTAGCCGAGATTTTTATCCTTTAAGAAAAAGTTTTCTATGGTGGTATAGATACGTGGATGATGTCTTTGCTTGCTTTGTTGGGACGGACAGACAATTGAATTCTTTTTTAAATTACATTAACTCATTACGTAATCGTATAAAATTCACCATCGAGATTGAATAGGATAATTTTATTATTAATTTTTTAGACTTAACTATTACGAAAACGCAAAACAAATTAGATTTTTCCATTTATCATAAACCTTTACACACGGACACAGTCATATGTAACAGCTCAAATCAACATTATACACACAAAATGGCTGCATTTCACTCACAGAAAATTTCAACAAAGAACTTAATATCATTAAACAAATTGCACTGAACAACGGCTACATATAGAGAAAATTATAAATAAAAAACAAATACAGACAACAGTAAACTCTATTTATCCGAAACCTAATACAGAACACGAACAATTTAAAACAATTACATATGTGGTTTAAAAATAGCTTTCAGAACTGACAACACAATAGGAAAATTTTTAAAAAATAATAAAACGAAATGTCCAAAATCTCAAAAATCAGGTGTCTACAGGTTGAAATGGGGATTTTGTCCTACAATTTATATTGGACAACCAGGTAGATCCTTCAAAAAACGCATTAACAAACATAAAAGAGCGTTTAAAAACAATAGTCTAGATCCTAATTATGCTACACACTTAAACACAGAAAAACACATTTTTGACGACAATTTTGATATTTTACATACAGCCACAAAAAGTAGAAAATTAAATTTATTGGAAGTTATGGATATTTACAAAATGCTTAATTTCGAATCAAGAATACGCCTACATTCACTTTGTTTATGAATTGTGTAATGGAAACGGACCAGCGGCAGTTGATGAATATCGTCGACTATTTCGCACTCATAGAGTGTCTTGTAGAACTGTTTTTAGCAATATCATCGATGTTTGAGAATTTCCTACAGCTACTTCTGAACATCCCGTTCAACAAGAACTTGATCAAGAAGAGGCAATACTTAATACGATTAATGCTCAACCTTCTACTAGTGTTCTAAGAATAGAAAATAAAGTTAACGTAGGCCGGATGAGAGTATGGAGAACTTTTACACAATTTCGGTTTCTACCCGTACCACATCTTACCTGTAATGTACCTTAATTGAAAATGATCTTCTAATATTACCGGGTGATCTTCCTCTTAATATAAGACAACGAATGTGGATTCAGCACGACGGCGCACCTCCTCAGTTTGGTCGTCAAGACTGAAAAACTGAAAACCTTAGTTTATCCAGAAAGTATTGAAAACAACTGCTACCCAGAATTATGGATGCGGCGGAAACTATTCGCGCTGATCCTTGAAATTGTTAGCAGAGCTATCACTTCGATTCTAAGAAGAGCTACACTATTTATACAGCAATTGGGTGAATATTTTGAACAATTAATTCAAAAAAATTAAATATAAATAAATAAAAAATAGTGAAAGCAGTAGTAGTAAATGGGAAGATATTATATAGCTATAGATGCCACATAGAGTCTTATTGTTTAAGTAAAAAGTGCCAATGAATCAAAATATATATTTCATTTTGACCAAAGCGTTTTCTTTTAGTTTAACAAAAGTTTTTTCTCTGAGTGTACAAATTGTTTATTTTGTGTTTTGATCTCAAAATTATTTGATTTTGCTCTCATTAATTATTCTTATTTCTGCAGTTTCGTTATATCGTTCTCCAAGCTTGAAAAGTTCTTGATGTTTCTAGAGATAGATCTGACAAGTGTCATAAAAAATAGAATAAATTTAAATAAATTCATAATTAATTATAACTATAATAACATAAATATAAATAAAAATTGTGAATGTGACTTATAGGGTTTCCGTTCTGAATTTTTCCGTGGCAGCGGCCGGACGAGGAGGAGGCGGCAACGCCGGGCCGGTAGATAACGAGACGTCATTATTTATTTAACGACCGGGGGCTGGGGGGCCATTTTTTCGGGAGACCCCGCGCGTACTCGCCCCCTATAATCAATGCGGGTTGCCGAATCGAGATTATTTATCTTCGACAATGGTTTTGGCACACGGTTGTTTGTTCTGCGCCGGCACAGACCTCCGCCGCGCCGGACCCGCGGCATTTCGTTGATTGTTTTCGGTGTTTCGGCAAAAAAGGCTAATTAGAATGGTGGACGATCGGAAAAAAAGAAACAGTGACGATTGGGGGAGTCGAAAACGTCCAAACTGCAGAAACAATGTAGAGTCGCGAGAGCGCAACTAAAGCTGCGATGGTTAAAGTCTATTTCATAAAGGTGTAGAACAAATAATTAGAGAAGAAATAAAGCAATGAGAAATTGAAGACTCATGTGAAGGATTAAATACATTCAATATTAGCGGGAATCGAAATTGCAGTGTTATGAGTATCTTCAATGATACTACATTCCATAGAACAGCGTACAACATCGAAACGCTTCGAAGAGATTAAAGACAATGAGGAGCGACGGAAAGCTTGTTATTGAGTATTGAGCAGAATTGACTACACTAAGCGTGGAGTAATAGTGGTATGGTCTCTTCATAGATATAAGAAAATGACCAATTGCTTTTGAATGGTGGTCATTAACATACAATGCAACAAGATTATTACTTAAAGTTTCGGAATTTAAATTCAGGTAAAATTGTGGTCCGTAATAGAAAATAATTTTATACCTACCTGTGTTTAATATTCTTTGGTTTGGTATACTACTTAGTTTAAGTTTATTAGTAATCATTCTTATTTCGTGTGTAATACAGTGTGTGTTGAATCGTGTGCGAATTATGCAAAATATGTGCGAGTCTAGTGTATCTCAGGAGATGCTCCCGCCCAAATGTAGAAAACACTATTCTATTGAGACTAAGGAAGTTATAAACAATATTTATTTGACTCTCATTGAACGTGGTGCCAGCAAGCAAGCATCTCTAGAAGAAACGGCCACATTGGCGAAAATTCCAACATCAACTGTATGGACATCCCATTTCAGCGAAGAAAAAAAGAAGCGATGCTGACATTTTTTCCAGTGTAGATGAAAGTGATCAAGATATAATACGGCGCAAAATTTACCAGTTATACGAGGAACAAAGCGTGCCTACATTAGATATCATACTTAGGAGGCCTGAAAAAGATGAAACTGGTGTTAAATGTGGCAGAACTACCTTATGGAAGTGTATTCAACACACGGGTTTTAGATTTAAAAAAAAAATGATAAAAGGCAAGTTTGAATGGAATCTTTTGGAATTCGGAAATGGCGACTGAAATATCTAGAAAAAAATAGGATTTACAGAGAACAACAAACGCCAATTATTTGCTTGGATGAAACCTGGTTCGACACTTATGATACCCCGGAAAAGGGTTGGGTTGACTCAACTGATAAGTGTAAAACAAACACGCCATCAAAACGACGTAAAAGAATAACTATTTTGCATGCTGGCTTTAAAGATGGTTGGTTTCCAAATGGACTTTCTCTGTCTGCGAAAAATATTAAAGATTCTTCTCTGGATTACCATGCAGACACCACCGCTGATTTATTTGAAAGTTGGTTTAAAAACAAACTAGTTCCAAACATTTCTCCTAATAGCGTCATTGTAATGGACAATGCAAGTTATCACAGTAGACAGTTGACTAAAATCCCTTCCTCATGTGACACAAAAGCAATAATCCAAAACTAAATGAATAATAACAACATTTATTTTCGCGAAGATTATACCAAAAAGCAATTAATTCAGGTTCTACAAAGCTTGAACCTACAAAAGGAATACGTCTGTGATAATTATGCAAAAAATTTAGGGCATACAGTTTTAAGGCTTCCACCTTACTACTGTATATTTAATTTCATTGAACATGTTTTGCACCAACTCAAATCTGCCATTTTCTGTTAAACATGTAGAAAAAGCAGAACAATCGTATATCCATATTGCAAATAATAATTAGAACAGGCGATGATAGCGATAGTGATACTGACATATTATGTGAATAATTTTAAGTAACTTAAATAGGTAATAAAAATAATTTGTAATTTCATTTTCGATTTAAACAAAAATACATACATACATAAATAAATAAATATTGTTTAGTATCTTTCCCAACAAAACCACAAATAATTAAATTCTAAGCAAAATACGGACCTGTTCGGCCATATTACATTCCTACAGCTGCCGGGGTCTTTCCTTAACTCGTATCACTTCTCGCTAGTCACTTCCTTATATCTATGAACAGACTTTATCTAGGATTGCAAGATCGTGATAGGAGAGATCGCAGCAAGAACCAAGAATTAAAATGGTGAAAGGTGCCGAGGGAAGGAAAATGACTCCTCACTCTCATAGAGATAAGGAGCTGCAACTCCAATGAGGAATATAGGGCAATAATTATGTCGTTTCTAATTCCATTGATGGGTTGTTTAGCAAATACTCAAACTAAGCCAAAATAAAAGCGAAATAAGCGAAATTCTGTTAAAAATGAAATTCCGTCCTGTCAATTTACTTGGAGGTCGCTCGGAAAGCTTCGTCATGGACAAACGCGTCAGCAAACCCGGGCCGTAAATCTGGGGCCGCTTCCCACACTCATATTCCATATTCGCCACATCCCATTGTTAAACACGAACTTTCACTTGCAACAATTACATAAAATATGCCATATTATAGTAAACTACATCTACCACGCTGTTGCCACCTACGAAGGCTACGGCAGCGTTGCCATATCAGTCCAATTCAATCAATAATGATATGATAAAGTTTAGTCCTCGAAGTATGTTCGAAGCGTTTTAAGTTTGGGTGCTAAATTTTCCGGGAAAAACACTTTTTTTTTAAATTACTTTCTACCAGTCGGGTTCGTCCGTGATACAATCGCATGTTTTTGAAGACAATAATAGTACGAAACTCATTTTTTTCGGATGAGTATTTTGCTAATCAAATTTATTAAAATAATTAAATTAGGTATCGTCATAAAGTAAATTTTCTCGCCATCTGCTGACTCGGGTGTTTAAAGAAAAATTAGTCTTATATTCAATGCGGCATAATCAACATGGCCGCTGATTAGATCTCGTAAAATGTTCTCGGAAAACGAGTTAAGGCTCTGGAAATCGCCGTTTTACCGTTGGATCTTAAGGACACCGTATGTTGCTAGGGTAACTGTAGAAGTTATGCACAACATTTTGCACCCATAATTCTTCTTCTTGTCGTTCCTTCTCCTAACCGAGGTTGGATATTATCATATGGCTCTCCTAATCTTGTTAACAGCTGTTAATAGTTGGTAAGTTTTTGAGCCCAGAGGTTTTTTCTCTCCATTGACCCTTTCCGCCTTTGATCTTTCCTTCCATAATGTTCTGTAGCATCGTATATTTAGGTATTCCAATTTTCTTCTTTTTAGATAGTTAATTATTTCCTGCTGTTTCTGGGTTCCCTTTAGCAGTCCCATATTGGAAACCCTGTCAGTCCATGAGAGATTTTCGATATTCGCCGATAACACCATCTTTCAAAAGCTCCGATCTTGTCCATGCCTGCCTTTTTTGAGTCTTTATGCTGCCGACCCGTAAAGTAATGTTGAAAAAAAGTAGGATGGAATCATTCTTATTCCTAATCCGAAATTTATATCTCTGCTGCAAAGAAACTTTTTGATCGTTATAAATGCACTTCTGGCAACCTCTATGCGACTTTTGATTTCATGAGTCTGCTCCATTGTTTCGCGTAGCCATGTTCCTAAGTATTTGTATTTTTTTACTCTGTCTATTGTTGTGTTGTCTATAGTTAGAATTCCGTTAACATTTACTTTCTTTGTAATCATCATATATTTAGTTTTCTTAAGGCCCGAAATATCCGATGCTGCAAAACATCTTGGAGGGCTAAATCGAAATCGCGGTTTAGAAAGAAAATGACAAATTACTTTTTACAAAGCTTCTGGAATCCTAGTGCGTCGGTTTTTGCTGAGTCGAAATTGCTGACGTTGGGTTCTTTAGAGCTTGACTGAAACTAGCGTCAGCAATTTGGACTCAGCAAAAACCGACGCAGGAGGAATTCAGAAGCTTTGTAAAAAGTATTACAGTAGCCTGTGGAACTTTCTTTGAAAAATTAAAATAGCAAATTTTACGGTAGTGGGGCCACCATATTATCTAATAGCCATATGGTGCCCAAGTCAATACTCCATCTTTTCTCAGCATTATGTTTTTTTTATTTACGTTTTTATCTGACTTATTATTAAATGAAATACGGAATTTGATGTCAAACGTAACAAGTACAGTTCCTTATGGAAAAAAAATCATAAACATTAAACATATAGTAAATCACTACTAGATGTATCTAGAGATATAGAAGTCACGCCTATGCCGATACTACAGGGAAGATATAAAATCTCGTTTTTAAGCAATGATCTTGCTGCTTTCAACAACCAACATAGCGAAATATGCCTAAATCTCATGAAATCCTCTGGGAAAACGAGTGAAGTGCAGTGGGGGAAATGTCAGGTCATGCGTAGAAGATCATTACCTTCTCTGTGAAAATATCAATGCCGCCTACTACAATTTTTACCATTTGAACCAGGCGTTCAAAATGTGCTTGATCGATAATATTACATGCTTTCCTGGTAGATCGTGGTTGATGGTCTCTAAGCTCTATACGCAATTGATCCCGTATTTGTTCTGTTGGGTTTAGGTCTGGACTGCGTGGAGGCCCGTCCAAGATATGCCATTGTAAAACTCGTCTTGTAATCTGGCAAACTTATCCGTTTGATATTAATTTCCGTATTTCATTTCAAGATATCTACTTTATTTCTTGAGTAAAATCCAAAAATGAAATGATATACAGGGGGTACCATATAAATTAAACCAGATGTTTATGTGGAAGCGGCATACCTGAAAATATTTTGGAGCGATAGAGCATCTCCTCTTTTCTAGGTCATTAAATGTGAACCACCCGGTATACATTAACTTTGAAGTTGACCCAAATTTTAGTGGTGCGTGAATTGTGATGTCAAGTTTATAAAAAACGATTTATTCCTGAAAATTAAAATCACAGATGTTTTTGGTTGTTTTTCTTGGTTTTATTTTGACTTGGAACCCCCTTCCCATTTAACAAAATAACGGTTATGTCCACGCCATCAGATGTAATCTGCGCGGTTTGGCAACGCCGCAGGCCGCCGCGCAATGAATGAAATCACGAGACAACAAAAGAGCGTCGCGACACCAACGCGACCGGATGCTGACCGAACGCGCTCTCAATGAACGGCTTCCGTTGTTTTTCGTGGTCTTCGTCATTGAGGAGCCGCGGTTGGAAAAAAAAGCGCGGGCGACGCGATTTTCAACGTGCGTGGCGACGAGCGTCTCGTCGGAATTTTAATTACGGGGGCGGGCGAGTTCGTTTGGTAGTCGCCTCGCGGTGTCGTAAATCGGAACCCTGCCGCATGAATAATAGATTTTCGACGGGTACCGGGAACGCACCGAAAGCGACATTTTTATGACATGGTCTGGTATTTCGGCGGACATCGGCGACATACTAATTCCAACCCCGGCTTACGTACCTAGAAGCATTTTTAAATTCGTGAATAGTCTTCATTTATTTATTTTTTTTTGTGAAATCACATTACATGGACATCGATCATTGGAACAAAGATTAAAAAAGAAAAATGTGCGCAATATCTTTGAAATAATTAAAACTACGTCACTGTTTTCAGTTCGAACCCGATTTTTCTAGATTTAACTTGTAAAAACTAGGATCAACCAATATTCTTAGTTAACTCTAGTTTTCACAGAATATATTTAAGTTAAAACTAGTTTTTTAAATTTAAATTTACTTTACACTTACTTCGAATTTTCACATCGTAGTTTGTATTTTCACTTTACTTTCTAAATGTATTTTGTAAATATGCGCTCGTATTTGTATGCTTAAAATTCTGTATACATATTGTAAGGTGTGAGTAAAAAAATAATTTAAAATAATCCTTGGTAGACGTTCTTAAAAGTGACGTCATCGAATCTCAAGCGACAAATATTGTTTTCCTCCATCCTATTATTATAAAATATCGTTAGTTTGCTTAATAAAACATGTGTCAGGATATGCCTCCCTCACATGTGGAAAAGGGTCTCCAAAAATCGTTTTTAATAATAATCATATATTTTTATTGTTACTATATCAAATAAACGCAATTATGGTCAACAATAGGTCTTGGAAGGGCGGCCATCTGCAAGGTCCAGATACTGTTTTGTCCTCAATTTATACAATAAATTTAGCTTCAATAAGATTGAAGAAAATAGGTACTAATGTATAACAACTTATATTTCTATCTAATTTTATTTTGCTATTTGGATATCTAAAGTTTGAATATATCTAAATAAAATGTAGGTCATACATATCATTGATTGGGAAATAATAGTTACTGGCTAATAAAATTTTAATGTTTTATAGGAGAACGTCACGTATTTTGAACCAAACTTTTTTCTGCGAATATTTTTAATTCTTTTTCACCAAAATGATATTTTTTAATTTTCCCAAGAAACTTCCTCAATACTATTCACAAAACTTCCAACTCGCCAAAACTTCGGGATTCTTCCTGCGTTGATTGTTGATGAATGAATTTCATTAGTAACTTTCTTGGTCCAAGCAAACTTGTTCGCGTCTAAATTTTATTTTTATATCTTAAACCGTTTCAGAAATACTTAATAATAATAATAATAATGTTTCCAATTTAGTATTTGTACTGAACGGCTTGTTCCGTGACGTGCTACAAATTGTTACAAAGATGGCGATTAAAATTCCGTAAACATTTGCTCGAACGGCCGATAAGAACTGTAACGATGCAGATTCGGGCGGCGTTTTTGCCATATTTACCTGAAAATCACGTAACAGCGTTTATTCGTTTCGTGTTCGGAATATCGTGGCCATTACCGTTTATGACACACACAATATGTATAGTAACGGATTGATGGCGAGTCGCAGTTTGTATGGATATTTTAATTTTTTACGCAAAAACGGTGCTTTGCCCCAATAATTGAGAAATCTCTTTCCATTACTCTGTTATGTGTGCTGACTAGATATACATATGTTAATTTTTAATTTACATAGAATAACCAAGTAATTATAATAAAGCTTTCAGGCATTTTATCTTTATGCATTACCGATTATGGGTAAATTTGATAGAACATAGTCATGATGTACTAGCTGGTGGTAAATTTGAAATGTAGTTAATTTGTTTAATATTACTTCGCCTTTTCGTTTCATATATTCTATACTATATTAAGTTACATCCTCGGCTGCACTTGTTGTCAGTCTGCCTATAAAAAATGAGAAAAAGCTAACCAAAAAAAATTATTTTTTTATGATTCAAACGGGTTTATCCTACCCGAAAATGAAATAAGATGACAGGTTTCGTTAGCTTTGCTTAGTATTTACTTGTTCCATTCAAATGGACGAATCGGTTCTAACATATCTATTATCCATCATTAAGTTTTCTTAAATTAGTTCTAGTTTTGCTTTTTTTTTTTCATTTTATGCATTACTTTGAATCCACTTGCGATTCTTATTTCACATGTTTAAAATTATAAGAAATTAATAATAAGACATTAATAATAATGTTTATTTGCTAAAAATAAATTAAATTCTTACACATTAATTACATAAGTTCAAAT